TCATACCACTACGTTAATTGCGTTTCCTCAACTTGTTAGCTGTGCAATCCTAACAAAGTTTCCTAACCTCTCTGGACCTCAGCCTCCTTCATCTATAAAACAGGAGTAATAATAGTGCCTACCTCTTAGGGAGTTTGCTACGAAATGGAAGAGAAATGACGCATGTAAAGAACTTAGCCCAGTTATCTGAACGACAGGAAGCTTTCTATGTGTCACTTGTAATTAGTTATTATTTGGGGATGACATTTGTTCTCAGGGAAATGAGGCCATCTCCACCGGGGCCTCATTCTAGCTGAGGGAGAAGCAGAACAAAGCAACCCAAAACTCAGTGAGAGCGAGGCACAGTTTGGGTCCGAGGAGGCCTGGGTTAGACGGACTGGACCACGATTAGCTTGATCTATTAGCATTGGGAATTGGGAAAGTCTTTTGCCTGGAGCAGCGCTGAAGAGACCAGTGAGTGGACTGGATAGCGCCGGGCACCATCGATTGTGGCTTTGTCACTGAAAGGAAGGACTTTATGAGGAGAGATCTGAAATGATATATTGCTTCTAGGTTTCCCTCCTGAGCTGGTCTAGCCCCATCCAATAGTCCTTCTTGGCTTTTATTCCAAGCCCGTGGAATGATTTAGACCATGAGATGGAAAAAAAAAAAAAAAATGCCTGGAGCAGTGTAAGAAACTGGGTGGAGAAGAGATGAGAAGGGCTGGCTGGGTATTAGCAAAGAGCCGAGGCCATGGGAGTGTGGTTAGAAAGGGGCAGAGAGCACCAAGCCCTGAGCCGTCCTGGGGCCACAGCTGCCCAAAGGCTTGGATGTGTGTGGGAGAGGCCGGAGGTGGCTGATGGTGAGGTCTCTCCTTGGGGGTGTCCTGGGGTGTGACTACCGCCACGGGGCTCACCTTAGGCTTTCCAATGATTTTGTATTTCATTATCTGGTTTCGATTTAGAAGTTCCTAGACTCTCTCTCATATCTGATCTCAAACTTCTATACCCTGAACCGGAGTCTTGCCTAAGAAAAGCCCCTGTGAGACCCAGATGCCTCTCTTCCTGATCCTCTGGTTGTTAATATCCAAGATCAGGGTTTTGCACCTTGATTTCTTTTTTAAGAAACAGTTCTGTCTTCAATTAAAATCTCCCATTGCTAACATATTTGTTGAGCACTTAGTATGTGCCAGTTACCATGCTACACTCCTTGAGTTTTCTCATGTCATCCTCAACATGATGCTATGAGGTCCTAGATCACGTAGCTTATTTTACAAAGTAAATGATGAAAGTAAGGCAAAGAATGGTGACATCCCTTCCTGAGGTCACACAACGAGGAAGTGGCTGAGCGAGGAGGTCATGTAGGCAGATTCCAGTTCCTGCAGCCAAGCCTTAGTAACCACTATGCTGTACTATCTTCTGAATCAAAGTGAGGGAGGGAGGTGGAGAGGGGGACCTCCAGCTTGTCCTTCTCAGCTGTCACTGCAGGTCCCCGAGGGACCTCCTGGGAACCCCTAGAGCTGCCTCAACCTAGAAACCTCTGCCGCAAAGTATAAGGAAGATCCGAAAGCCAAGGCCTACTGAGTGTTGGCCTGGCCACCTTGGCAATCAGGGGAGGGGTGTGTGGGTGTGTGAAGGTCAGGATGGAGTTCCAGAAAGTAGGGGTGAGATCAGGATATTCCATGGCTTGTCAGATGCTTGGCTACTGGAACTTGATTGGAGAAATAATCTCTTCAAAATACCACATGCTTGTGAAATTTATGCACTTCCCCACTACGTCCCTCTTTGATAAAATTTTCCAGTATCTGTAATTCTTTACTTTAAAAGCTGAAGGGAAGGCCAGGGTTAGCTCATGATATTCTAGAACATTCTGCAGTCTGTGACCGCTCACTCGCCAGCCTGCCGTGTAGCAGGCTGTGCTGCTTCTAAGACAGGCCAGATGCTGCGCACTTAACACACGTCGGACACAGATTCAGCTGCCTTCTGCTAAAGCCAGTTAAGAGGCAGTAGCAGCTGGTTATCCCAGCTAGGTTGCGTATTCCTCCCTGCACTCTCACGGACATCATTTATCCAGTGGGCACATCATTTCTTTCTCCCTTTCTCTCCCTTTGGTCTCAAAGTGTCTAAGCTGCCAACATTCTGAATTGGAAAGGCTGAGATGGAGACCCGGGCTGCTTTTGTTCAATATGAAAAGTGAAGCGAGCAGAGAGAAAGCTGTTTATCCACCAGCTGGGAGTCGTGAGGTGTCCTGGCTACAGTGACCGCTTGCCAAGTGCCAGGTGCTTTGCTAAACACGTTATATGAGGAATCTCAGTCAATCCTCCCAACGCTGGGAGGTGGATGCCGTTTCAGCTGAGGAGAGCATATCTCAGAGATGTTCGGGAAAACCTGCCCAAGGTCATGGGGCTGGTGGATGCCAGCACCAGCCCTTGACCTCAGACCCAAACAGGAAGCTGCCATTGGGACAACCCTGAATTCAAGCTGAAATTTCCTGGGAGGTGGGCAAGGACCTTAGGACAGATGGCAGAGCAGTGTCTGGAGGAGAACCTGGCTGTCCCCTGATGCATCCCTCTCAGAGAAGGTTTTGGCAGACACTCAGACCCGTGTGTCACCTCTTGGGGTGACAAAAAGACAGAAGGCACTGCAGGGCATTCCTCCCACCAGTGGAACTCAGGGAGCCCGGGTCCTCATTTGAGACTAAATTTTCACACCTGACCTTGACCTTTATGAGCTCAGAGACACTCGGCTCCTTCTGAAGTCCAGAGGGCCAGAGGGCCGGCCCAAAGCCTGGCTCCTCCCTCGGGGAATGTCAGGAAGCTGGGCCACTCGCGGAGGATATTCTGTCTTCACATCTTGGTGGGAATTTCTAGTCTCCCAATGGGTGGTGGGGGATGAAGTCTACCTCTGTGATGTTGCCTGATGCAGGAAGAGACGCTTCAGGAAGGGATCCTAGCAAGGACCTGGTCCAATGCCTCATTACACTGATGGAAATGCAGAGGCCTCAGACGGGAGAAAGCTGGGTCCGTGCTTTTTAAATGCACAGTTCAGTGGCATTAAGTATATTCACATTGTTGTGCAAACATCACCAATATCCATCTCCAGAATTTTTTCTTCAACCCAAACTGAAACTCATCCTTCATTTTTACACACTTGTGTGTGCTTGCTGTGTGCCTGCCATGTCCCAGACACTTCACACCTATTAACTCATTTCACCCTCACAAGTCTGCGAGATAGGCATTACTGCTATGTCCACTTTAGAGATGAGAAAACTGAGGCACGAGAGGGTAAGGTGTTGCAGTTATTAAATCGCAGAGCCGCTCTTCACATTTAGGGCATGCGGCGCCAAAGTCCGAGCTCTTGACAACTACAGAAGCTCCTGGAACATTGCACGAGGTAGGTGGCTGAGGCCACTCCCGCCCATCCTGCTCTGATGCCCCCTGGTAGAAGAGGCAGGAAGAGGAGGCTCCCAGGATGGCAGCTCTGTGTTATGCATAGATGGAGAGAAGGGACAGGAGCTGGGCTTCACCATCGTGGGACACATGGGGAAGGGACAGGGACTCGAAAGCCTTCGTTTTCCTCCTTCAAATTTAGCCTCTTGACCAAATAATGAGTGTAGGGGAGATCGAGTACATTCCTCATTGTCTTTCTTGGAAACAAGGTGCTCCTTAGGCCTGAAGGAGAATTACAATGTGCGGCTGGATGACTCAGGTCCATGTGCAATTATCTGGACACTGGTGAGAGTGAGCGATGTCATACGTACAAGTGTGTCGTGTGTGAGGTTGGGGGATGGTGTGGGATTCGATTTGTAAGTATGTGTCTCAGGTCTGTCTGTGTGACACTGGTCTCTGGCCTGGAGGCAGGGGCTCCTTGAGATGGACACTTCACAGTGTCCTCAGAGGCCTGGCCTCTTCCGGAGGCTGCTGGCCTCCTGACACTGAGTGTGGGCCCTGCTGGGCCGGAGCACACAGGGTCAAGGCTGGGTGGTGAGGCCTGAGGGCTCCATCAGTGCTTGCATCACCCTCCGCGGGGCGTGCACCTGCCGGGCTAGCAGTCAGCCAGGCTTGCTGTGATGTGTAGTCACCCAAGCACCTGGGGACAGAGGCCCACAGAGGGTTTCTGGGGCAAAGCTCAGCTGGCCTCCCTTTGGCATGGGGCTTGCACAAGGCCCCGTGCTTCCTTCTTAGGAGGAGAAAACTGGGCTGGGAGAGGAGGAAGTGTGGGGAGGGCAGCCTGGGGGACAGCAAGGGCACTCCTGTTTACTGAGCACTTGCTTGGTGTCAGGCTATATATTTCACAGTTTGGCTCCCTTAATCCTCACAGTAATTCTCATCATCCCTGCTTTAGGGATAAGGAAATAGAAGCTCAGAGACTATCTACAATATTAATACCAATAATCACAGCATTACGTCATTTATAAGATGACCATGTAAGAGAGTTAAGAGTGCAGACGCTCAAGTCAACTTGCATGAAACTTAACTAACTGTGAGACCTTGGGCAGGTCATGTAACTTCTCTGTGTCTCAGTTTCTTCATTTATAAAATGGGAATAATAATAGTAATTTCTCCTAGGGCTTCAGTAAGGAAGAGACAGGTGTTTGGTATAGAGTCTGGGGCATAGCTAGTAGTTAGCAAATGTTGGCTAAAGCCACAATGATCAAACAATCACAGTGTACTAGGCTTCGGGCTAAGGGTTTCTTTCTATTATGTTGTTTAAATATAATAACTCCAAGAGATTGGTGTTATCATCTCCCTTTTACCCATTAGCAAAATAAGGCTCAGAGAGGTTAGTGGAGTTCCCCAAGCCCACAGAGCTGGGAAAAGGTTGGGGCGAGGATTCCAGTGCTTTTCTCTCTGCAGAAGCAGCCCTTCCTCCCGCCTGGGTCTCCTGTGACCCTCTGCCCTTAACACTGGTGAGAGCTGGCGTTTTCAGGCCCCCAGCATGGCATTGTCACCCGCCTGAGGCCAGCACCACCTCCTGCCCCAGTCTGTCCCAGCTCAGATGAGCTTCTCCAGACGTACACACCTGTCTGATGCTCAAAGGCAGGATAATACTCTTCATTGCTGAACAGGTCAGTCCACGACATCAGGGGGTCGCAGAAGGACGCGTTGGGCAGGAAGGTGCTGTGTGTCACTGAGTCCAACATCACCCTGTAATGGCAGGAGAGGCTGTGAGGAGGCGGATGAAGGAAGAAAGCCACACTGTAGGAGCCCCCAGCAGGGCGACACTTGGTTTTTAGTAATGACGGCAAACGCTTACAAACATACAGTCTCCCAGGAGCCAGGCACCCCTCTAAGTGCTTTCCATGGTGACATTTTTTAATCCTTGCCACCTCCTGCGAGGTTTGTGTGTATATCCCCATTTTATAGATGAGAAAACTGAGGCAGAGGGGTTGAGACAATTGTCCAGGTAAATGGCCAGTAAGTGGCAAAGCTGGGATTTGAGGATGAAGGCTTTTATTATATAATAATGTTCTTTCTTTACTTTTCCTATTCTCTCACACCTGAGCCCTGAAGTGGATTATAATGTCTAAAAATATACTTCTGGGACTTCCCTGGCAGTCCAGTGGTTAAGACTCCACGCTTCCACTGCAGGGGGCGGGGGTTTGATCCCTGGTTGGGGAACTAAGATCCGCATGCCGCATGGTGCGTGGCCAAAAAAATATATGTATACTTCTGAAAACAGGGCAAGAATTATTATAAATGAACATGCCCACAAACACTAATCCACAATTCTGAAATCCAAAAGCTCTGAAACTGAAAGTACATTTGTGTGTGTGTGTGTGTGTGTGTGTGTGTGTGTGTATGTGTGGTTCTGACTTATTTCCCAGCAAAAACAGTCCTGAATTGATGTTATAAAATTTTAATATATAATTATAATATATATTATATCTCTACTTCTATATATGTATATAAACTAAATGCTATACATCTATTAAACATATACAACTATAGATATGCTCTGTAGTCTTATACCTATAGCTACAGTTTTATTCCACTTGATGAATATTCACATGATACACTACAGAAATATTAATGCATTTAAGCAGTCCTAGCAGCCAGTACCTTGAGAGGGGTATTCTGGGCTCTGCAGTATATACCCTGTGTCACCTTCTTAATACCTGAAGAACTCTGAATTCTTCAGCACATCTCGCCTCAGGGTTTTGGATAAGAGAGTGAAGACCTGTGATAATTGTAACACACTTGCTTCACTGAGAGCTCTGGGCTGAGCAGTTTACGTTCATTATTCATGGTGTCCCCAGGGCAACCACTCTGAGACAGTTTCTGGTGTGGGTTCTGTTTTTATAGATGAGGGATGGGCGCTGTGAGATTCCAGGTAACATGCCGCCGAGCACCCAGGTGGCAGGTGCTGGGAGTTTGGGTGACAACGCAGGTGGGTCTGTTTAAGAAGTCATGAACCTAATTGCGCATGCTGGCGAGTGGGAAGCTTTGGGAGAAGATGACTGGTCGAGGCTGGAAAGGGGATAGAAAAAAACGGGCTGGGGCTTCTACTCATAAGCATTCTTGCCCCACCAGTCTCATCTTTCAAGTTTCCTTTTGCTGTTTCCCATATTCCCACAATTCAGAAAAAAATGAATTCATGTTTGGTGAATTAGAAAAATCTGTTCACCCAACTTCTATTATGATTATCGCAATAATGTTGATGAGATAGCGTGGTTCTACTCCCTTCTGCAAAGGGACACAGCAGCTCAAAAATCACACAGCTGGGAAGTGTCAAAGCAAAGACTAGATTCCAGGTTATTAAGTGCATGGAATTTTAGATGGTCAGGAGCTTATTAATCATCTCGTCCAGTGTTTCCCAAGCTTTAGTCATTCGCCTGCCACCATGATAACTTCCTTAATATATTAAAAAAAATCACTTCCCTTTTTATTTTAACATAACCACATTTATTTAAAAGGAAAACTTTACATCACCACTATAAATGGAAAGTCGGTATTCGTTTAACATACATAAAAATAAAGACATAAGCATTGAAATAAAAATTAGTCATCCGTGCACCGCCTAGATCAGAGGTTCACAAACTCCAACCTACCGGCACAATCTAGCCCACTACCTATTTTTGAATGGCCCACAGCTAAAAATTATTTTACATTTTTAAATGGTTACATATTAAATGGTTATATAAGTACACACATAATGTACTTGATTTTTGCCTTTAGGCCTGCAAATCCTAAAATATTTACTATCTAGTGCTTTAAGAAAAAGTTTTCTACACCTGACCAGATTTATCTCACGTAACATGAGTGGTCGGAGTACCGCATGTTGCAAAGTACTGAGTTGGTCTAATCTTTCCCTGCACCCATTTTACAGCTGAGAAAGTTAAGGCCCAGGAAATTTGTGTAACTTTGTCAAAGTCACACAGCGTTATGGTATACAGAATTCTTAAGTTTTTTTCCAACCCATCTGCTTCCCTTTCTAAAAACACTCACAGCCTCATCTGTTCAAAGACGCATCCCAGGTTCACTTACACGTCAAATAGGACCTCAATACCGAGAGGGGCAGGGATTGTGTGGTTGAAAACCAAAGATCAATTCTTTGGGGATGTTTGCAAATCTATCTATCTATCATCATCACTATCAGATGTGCATGAGAACTGTGCTCCAGACGTAGATAAATAACTGAGTTCGAATTCTCACATGTAGGCACCCTCTCTGGGCGTCATCAAAGGTTCATCAGACCGCACTAGGAAGCCTCCTTCCTGGTGCCCGGAGAGGGTTAACGTGCCCAGCAGATTATCACCTTCTTAGATCTCCCGCTGCGAGCCATATCAAACAGAAGTCAAGGCTGCCTGGGTTTGGACTCTGATTTTCCCACGGATTGATTGGTTTTATATCCAGAGCAGGTGGCTTGATGAAGAGGGATGGGTGTGGGAGATTATGAAGGAGGGAAGGGCCCTTGGAGCCCAAAGCCCCTTCTTCTTTCTGGACATGACCCCAGAAAAGTTCTCTTAAGTGAGGGCTCAAGGTAAAAATGCCCCCTGCCCTTCTGGGCTGGAGGCTCAGAAAATGGAGGAAGGGAATGGCAGGCCTCTGACATGACCTTCACTGCTGGGCTTGGAGAAAGGAGAGGTGGCCTCCATGTGGAGGAAAATAGAACACAGTTCCCAGGTCTTCGATGTCAATTAGGAATCCTCCAGATACATAACGTGACAGTAGGAGTGCACTCTTCCTCATCTCTGCCTAGCAAAGCTCTCAAAAGCCATTTGGTAAATTGAATTTGATCATATAAAAATTAGGAATATTTTTGACCAGTACGATATTTACCTCCTTTAAAGACTTCTTTTTTTTCTTCTTTTTGCGCCAGCCCACTGGCTTGCTCTGTAATCTCTCCAGGGCTGTACACAGCACCGTCTGTATCTGATTCCCTTTGGTGGTTCTTCTATGGCAAATTATATCCATCAAGTTTTCTTAAAGGGCTGTCTTCAGGTGTACAACATGAATTTTTCTTCTGTAATTATCTTTTGCTTTGTGGAAGATGTGTTTTATAAAAGGCAGCAGTTTTTTTTTTTTTTTTTTTTGCTATTGCAGTGGGAGGACGGGGTGTTATTAACTCTGGATTCTCCACAAGAGACCTCGGGCACTTAGCCAGTGGGCTCTAGGTGTGAAAGTTTGGGAATAATGGCTGCTTTGTATTCCACAGCCCAGCTTCTTAGGCTCTCTATGGTCCTTTTAATAATTGAACATTTTAGCCCTTAAGATTCCTTTAATGTAGGTGGAACAGGGTGGTGGGAGAGAACAGCTATTCGAGGACCCTCTTCTCAGTGAAGACGTTGGTGCCCAGTGATGTGTAAGGCCAGGCCTGAAGTTAGAATATGTATTCCCAGTGGGGGGGGGACAGTGACCCTAGAGGGAAAAAATTGGTTCTTGAGGGTCAGAAAAATCTTAGCCATTATAATCCTTTATGACCCTCCAAAAGGCCATAGTATGTAAATGATAAACAGTAAATCTGTGATATTAACATTTCATGGAAGGGGTATGATTAAGAAACAGTGATCTAAAAAGGCTCTCTAGAGGGTGTGATAATGAAATAAAAGGTTGAGAAGCACTGTGTTAGAACTAGAATCAGCAGCAGGACAAGAAGGGATGTCTAGGGAGGGTCCTAGGCCTGCTGTTCTAACCACACATTTTTGTTTTTTGAGGGGCTGGCTGGTTTGTCATCACAGAAAGAGCACTGGCCTGGGAGTCATATACTTGCTCCTCGCCGAGCCTCAGTTCTTCATCTGCTAAATGGACACACCGATGAGGTGGACTCCAAGACCTGCCCCAGCTGCGTGACTTTCTGCAGGAACCCACTGGAGTGGGCCGCCGACACATCCACACATGTGCACGCATATGCACACGCATATATACGGTGGTATAGTTGGATGGTGCAAACTGGAGTACAATTCAATCACTACAGAGGTGCAACTTTTAGCTCTAAAAATTCCCCCGATTTTCTCTTCTCCCTTTCCTCCTATGCCCACTGTGGACTCTGGACATTCTTTGCCTGGGCTAGCCAGGCACCTTAAGTACTCTGGACCCTCACTCACGGCCCATCCACAGACCCACGGCAGTTGGAATCAGTTTCCCCAAACTGTAGTCCACATTCTAGCTGCCTAATAAGTAGGAAAGGGTCAAGCACATTCCACACAAGGGGGAGGAATCAAGTGGGTTCTCTTCTATGCACGAGAAAGGCTGGCTGGACCTTTGGGAATGGCGTGGACGCTCAGGTCCCCAGTGCCTGCAGAGGCTTCCTATCCCTTCTGAGAGTCGACTCACTCACCAAGGTGCACGGGGAGGGTCCACACAGTCAGAGAGACAGGGCTGGGGGCTTCCTGCCCTCACACGAGTCAGAGGCAGCAGTCACAGGTGTGGTGTCCATGGCACCTCTGCTCAGCCTTCCAGAGAGAGCAGAAGCAGAAAACCACCCAGCCTTGGCCAGTTAGCCAGAGGAGGAAAATTCCTTCCTGACCCTGGCAGAGATCATCAACTTCACTTCGGGCATGTGACCAAAAATTCACCCAGTGAAGCACCTACACATTGGCTGTTTATGCGCTAATACATCACTGGGCAGAACAAGGCTGTGAGGGTGTAAACCATGGAGAAGGGGGCCGGGGAGGGCCTTCCCCGATCCCACCACCTGGGCAATCTCACTGAGAAAAATAAAGCTTTTTGTCCTCTAAAGCCTCAGCGATATCCCAGTGTCCATCAGGTCCCAAGCCCTGTGGGCAGGTCAGGGTCCACTTCCCACCTTTTGGACCTCCCTAAGAAGGGACACATGGAGGAAAACCCACTGGACTATTTCAATACTTGCTACTAAAGGATTGTGGGTTGGCTGCTTGAGTGTTTGCTCTGGGAGAAACCACAGCAGCTGTGAGAGCTGCCTCGCTGACGTCTTGCCAAGTGATTCCTCATCTTTCTTTGGCTTGTGTAGGGAGTTTGCTAGTTAGTTTGTTTTTCATTGTTTTTCTGAAGATTCAGCAAAGACTCATAGGAGGTACGCCGTATAGTTTACTGTGGGCTCCAGTACAAAGTTCATCAGGTTTGGTTTGGATTAAATCCACTGGGGTTTAAATCCCACCTCTGCCACCCACAAGGCAAGGGACGTGGGACACGTTTCTTACTACTCAGCCTGCAGAAATTGTATTTTTTATTCTTTATTTTTGTTTCATACAAAGTGTGTTATGTAAAAATCCATGACCCTCTCTGAGCTCATCTTTAAAATGCCTCATCTCTAAAATGGGGATTTTAAACACAATACTCAGGATATCCCAAGGATTTAACCAAATTAGATAATACATGTAGATGAGTAGGCATAATACGTATGTCCATTCCTGTCCCAGCAGGGGGGAAAGAAAATCAATCATTGTCAATATATCTAAAAGGTTGCTACTCAGGTGACTTCTTTGAAAAGAAGAAAACCAATCTGTGAAAACTCTTGTCAACAGCACCTTGAATCATGTAAAACATTCTCACAGAGAACATGGGGACAAAAGATTTAAGCTTTCACTCAGAGGGACAAACAACCCCTCTCCCTGCGTCTTTAGACTAAAACATGAAGCTGTCTCCCTAAATCACTTTACCTTTCTAGGCCTCAGTTTCGTCATCTGTAAAGCGAAGAGGTTGTCCCTAATGATGTCTGATAACCTTTCCAGTTTGTAAAATTCTTTGCACATCCAAATGAACGTGGGTCCCCAGCTCCAGCTGGAGAAGGGAGCATGTGCTACTGGTGGCTGCCAGCAGGGGGCGAATGCACAAGAACACCACATACTGCGGAGTCTTTGCAGAGGTCTGAGAATAAATACAGTGGAAAAACCCTAACCATTGCTTTTCTGGAAGCATTCTATATGGAGGTGGTGTGAGAGGGCAGAACGGGTTTCCTTTAAGCTATTACGTAAGACAATCTCCTGAAAAACGCCCTAATCTGTAATAAGGCAGCTATCTTCTCTGTTTCAAGGTTGGAGGGGGGGGTCCATGAGCAGGCCGATGGGAAAAGGAGGCGTTTAGGCAGGAGAAGGTGGGCTTTCCTTGAAGCTGAATATTTTTTGGTGTAAAATCCAGCTTCCCTTCCTAAGGTTAGCTTTAGGAAGGGTAGAGAATAGAGTGCCTGTATGCATTCTCTCTTAGTTAGTTCCCCTTGGTTTAATCAAGTGATCCAGAGGCAGTGGGGGCTACCACGGCGGTGGTGTGTGGCTGGCTACACAGCCTGAGGATGCAAAAATGTCTCTCTCAGGTAAGCAGTTAAATCCCACTCAAACAGCTCCCGGGAGGCACTGTGACTGATGGACATGGCAGGAGGGCGGGCAGTCTGGAGCTGGGGACAGACCCACAGACCCAGGCCCCAGCCGGAAGCTCTAAGCCCTGACACCCCTTACAATTCATCCAAAAGAGCAAAGAAAAGGTGCTTACTTGAGGACAGCGGTGCTGGGTCCAAAGAGGAGGTTTTCAAGGCAAGAGAAGGCGGGCGCTCCCAGCACCGGCGTACAGTGGAAATAAAGGCACCTGTAGCCTTGTGATATAAGTAACACCTACAGACAGGTCCGTTTGGTTTTTCAGGTTTATGCACAGCCCCTTTGATGACGGTGACATACAGTGTGACACGGCTCCTTGGAGGGGGGAATGGTTCTCACACGCAGAAAGTTTACCTTTATCCTGCCTTTGTGCCCAGCTCACACACACCCCGCCCCCTCCCCCTGCAACCCGGGGGAATCAGTAAACAAGCCGAGAATTCTTGCCTCTGGGAGCTTTCTGCGATCCTGTGTTTGCTGGGAACTCTCTTTAGGGCAAGCTGGAGGGGAAACCCTGGGAATCCAGCTGTGGTGCCCATGTCTGCCGCCCCCCTCCTGGGCTGACAGAGTCCTGCGAATTTGGATATCCCGTCACCCTCCCCCCGCCCCGCACCCGCGCAGCTTGGCAAGGTGGAAGGGTAGGATGGGGCAGTGGTTACGAACGCAGACTTTGCAGCTAGATGACTTTTTTTTTTTTTTGCAGCTAGATGACTTTGAATTCAAATTCGAGGTGCATCATTTTCTAGTCGTGTCACCTTGAACCACTCAACTAGCTAGTTAATAAGGTAACTAGCTCTAATGCAAATAGCAGGGCCTACCCACTGGGTGCGCTGGGGGTCATATGAGGTCCTGCAAGTGAAGTACTGAATGAGCCCTTTGTTTCGCTGTGATCATAGCGTTTTCTTCGACGGAGCGCGTTAATCAGAAAGCCCCTCTCCACCACTTCCTCCGACCTCATGCCTTCCGAGCAGATGAAGGGAACGGCCAGCTTGTAGAACCAATGTTGGGCCTTGCTTCTACTTTTTCACACAAAGCATAACCGGCCATCGGACACATGAGCTATCCAACTTCTAACCTCTTTGGACATAACACGCCATGTGGTGGCTTTCTCCCTTCCTCTCCTCCTTACGGATGGAGAAACGAAGAGGTTTAGCGGTTCAGTCAGGTGTCCACAGCTTCTAGGCTGGGGTCTGACTTGGATGTCAGCTCTCAGGTGACTTGCTGAGAACTACCTGCTTCCCTGTAAGAGCAGAAACTCAACCCAACTCAGGCTGAAAATAGAGTGTCTCCTGGTTGCCTCAGGACAGAATTGCCAACCCTCTGCCTTTCTGCCCTGTGCTTCCAGCTCTCCTGGGCAGCCAAGAACTTATGTCCAAATTGCAGACTCCAAGCTTTAGAGTGAAAGCAGGGACTGGTTTGTTAGGTTTTCTTGGGAACACTGGGGACGGGTGCAAACATACAAAAACACATATACAGTCTGGAGAAACAAAAGGTAGCTCATTAGAGGACTCAGGTGTCATCATGGAAAAAGTGTTGAAGGAAGATAAGGAGATTGCCTAGGCTGCTGACTTGCTGTGTAACCTCAGGCAAGTCAGGTAGCTTCTCTGGGCTTCATTTCCCCTGACGGTAAAAGGAAGAGGTTGGGTTAGAATAGTGATTTTCAAACTGTGTTCTGAAGAACCCCAAGGGTTCCCTGGAGCCCTCATAAGAGCTGCTGGGGGTGAGAGGATGAAAGCAGAGTGGGTTAGGTTCTGGGCTGTTCCTCCCTGATTCAGTAAGAGCATCTCAGCTTTTATACAAATCTTCAGGATAAGATTTCTCTTGAACAAAAGAATTCGCACTTAAAAAGAGTTTGCAGAGAACTGGATTAGGTGGTCATTGAGATTCCTTTGAGCTCTAAAATTCTGTGATTTGCTTCTTCCTCTTCAGCATCTAGGGGACTGGTATTGTCGTACACACCATGTTTCTCACCATTGGGTACTTTCCCATCTTGTCAGTAGTTTTGGAAAGTCTTCTTGTGTTTGTATCCACACACATATGTTCTTCTCAGCAGAGAGGTTTTCATGGAAAACATCTTGTTCTGCTATCGTTTTTAGAAAAGAATCTTTTGGAGAAATTATATTTGTTTCTATGCTGTCTTGGTGCAACTATTTCAAGTTTCTGGCAATGAATGTGATGACAACAAACTGTGTTGGTCCTGAATGTGTAATACTGCATATCTGGGTGCCTTTGTGGGGAATTACTGGCTTCTGGACTAGTGGATAAAAGGGGTGATTAAGATAAAACCAAAATAAAAGAGGAATTTGACTCTAATGGAGTCTAACTATTACATTGAACCTAAATTTGATTGGAGTGGAGATCCTGGATGGTATCAAACACTAAGCTCATAAAACCTGTATTTGAATGTCAGAAGGGGGCAGAAGAAGGAATGAAGTATTTTAGACTTTCCAGCCCATCCTCCTTCTGCTGTCTCAACCACGTAGCAATAACAGGTAACACGAATTAGGCTTACAAGAGCCACAGAGTGACTAAGCCTGGATTCTGGAGGGAGACTCCATAGGTTTGAATCCTGGCTTTCCATTTTCTGGCTGGGTAAGTCTGGGAAGCTTATTTATTACCCTTAACATCCCAGTTCCCTCATCTGTAAACTGAGGGAAAAAGAATGCATCCTTTATAGGGTGCTGGGTGAATTAAATGAGTTCAAAGCCGGGAAGTGGTGAGAGCCCTAGTGTGTGCTCTGTTATCTATGGGCTGCCGTGACATTTGTTAAAGTAATTAAACAAGGAGGCCGTTTGACTGTGGTGGCTTTAATGCCTGGGTAACCCAAGCAAGCAAACCGAAACCTAAGCCAGAGTTGATTGTAAATATGCTCGTATCCGAAAAAATGAAATTAAAAACCACCAATCACGGGCAGCAGACTGGGATTTCCCAAATAAAGCAACTGCTTAAGCTATAGCCAGTCAGATAATTTCCTTGCTTTGCTTCCACGTCTGTACTATAAAACCATTCCCGTGGCTCTTGTTGGTGGAGCGCTCTTAAACACCTAACCATTTACAGTTTGGCAATACCTGATTGGAATCGAAGTTTGCTCAAATGAATGCTTGAAAAATTTCATATGCTTCCTTTTATCTTTTAGTGCATTCACTGCCTTAAATTCTCACAACTCTCTGATGAGAGTATGACTTATTATCCCCATTTTACAGGTAAAGGAACTGAGACACAGAGAGGTGAAATAACTTGCCCATGGTCACACAGCTAGTAAGTGGCAGAGCAGTATTTTCTGGCTCCAGAGCCCGTTCTCTTAACTACCATGCTAACCAGTCTCTAGGTGCGCCTGGGATGGCTGCATGGGGACAGGGAAGAGGGAATCACACGTAGAGCATTTGCCATATGCCAAGCATTGTGCTAAAATTGCTCACCTGCTGTACCTTGGTTACTTTTCACAGTAATCCTGGGAAGTAGCTATCACTACCTTCTTTTTAGGATGAAGAACCAGAGGTGCCAGGCTTGCTGGGTGTCACCCAGCTGGGAAGTGATCAAGCCTGCGTTGAACTCAGGGCTGCCCAGTGTTAAAACCACAATGTAGACGCAGAAGCTCAAGTTGGTGTCTCTCCATTTGCTCTGGCTTCAGCACTGGCCTCAGAGGGGGTCCTTCCCCCTCTGTTGGTTCAAGATCCCTGAGTCTCATGGCTGTCGCTGGCATAGTCTACCTCTCAGTGTAGAGTAGAAATTCTGATACCTCATTGATTCCCTGGTGTCTGGTATGGTTCTTGGGACAAAGAAGATGCTCAATATACGTGCATGTATCATGGAAGTGAATTAAAAGACAAGTCACCTGACGTAAGGCTGGAGGTTCCTACCCAATTCCTTTTACGAGACGTAATGGGTTCCGCGCTTTTCCTAGATCCTACCCCCATTTAACCTGGGCCAACATTTCTTTAGTCATTTTTCTCTCCCCCAATCTGCTACCCTCACCACCACCCCAAGAGGCATCACAGGCTGAAAACAAAAGTGAGTTAAAAAATACACTTAAAGAGGGAAGAGATATGGGAACATATGTATATGTATAACTGATTCACTTTGTTATAAAGCAGAAACTAACACACCATTGTAAAGCAATTATACCCCAATAAAGATGTTAAAAAAAAATACACTTAGGTAAATTCACAGACGATGCCGTTAGCAGGACAGATTTTCAGGGTGATGGTGAAGTGTATGAGCTTTGGATTAAGATCCCTGTCTCTATTATCCTAAAACTATTTTTTAGAAAATAGTCTGTTGGAGAAATTACATTTTCTATGCTCTACTGGTTTAAATATTTAAGAATGAAAAGTTTTCTTTCAGTAGGCGTATATGATAACCAACTCCTGGCACCTGCCACCTGGGAGCCATTAGATGAAGCAACAACTTTTCAGGGCCTCAGTTTCTCATCTGGAAGTATTTCCTGTGATTCCCGGTGCACAGTAAGTTCTCACCGAGTGGTGACTATGGTCTACGGAGAGAAACGCAGAGGTTGATTGAGATCGCCGGATTTTGAAGTTTACCATACCAAGTAGGATAATATTGCCCTCCTGCAATGAATAGTCCCAGTCGCTACCATTTATCTGGCATTTACTAGGTGCCAGGAACTGTCTAGGCATGCTACGTGTATTAAAGCATTTAACCTTTGCATCATTCCTCTGAGGTAGGTACTATTATTATTATCTAAAATTTACTAATGAGGAAACAGGCATAGAAAGTTCAGGTAACTTACTCATATCACACAGCTGGTAGAACTGCAGGTAAGATTTGAGCCTAGGAAGATGGCACCAGAGTCCACAAGCTTCCCCATTACGCTATCATTTGGTACCTCTAGGAGGCAGGATCTAAGTTGAGGAGATATCCATTTTCTTAGGCCTCCCAAGCTGCTGGCAGGATCCTTGAAAGCAAGGACAAGGGTTATAAACCTATTGTCCCCTAAAACACCTAGCATGGACTTAAGCACAAATAAGTGCTACAACAATTCTTGTTGGCTGATTTTGTATTTGCTTTATTTCCTCTTTGGGTGTCTTTCCCCAGTTTCCTATATTCAACTCATCCTT